CAATTCTACAGTACATAGCCATACATAACCGAAATAGGCCCAGAGAAACAGAGAGGAAGACAGAGACCGCGTGTTTTCAGTTCGCCCAAAATGGCGTTCTCAAAACTTGCAGTTGTAATATGGGTGCTATCACATAGAAAATTCCGTCTGTGATTGTAAAATGGTGCTTCTGGTTGTAAATTGGCTTAACTTCGGGGATGCACTTGTTTTCAAGCCCGTGGAAGTTGGCTGTAAGGTAGCTTCGTCCACAAGCCTTAAAAACAGGTTGCCAAACAGTCAACATCTGTGTAAATCTTTGACCATTGTGCTTCTTTTCCCTGCATTGTTGATCGTGCACACTCAGCCACCCGAAAGCTAAGCGAGCTTTTTTTCGAGAAGTACATAGCAGTACTATTGTTAGTAATAATGATAATGATAGTATAGTGTCGGTAATAATGATATCAATAGTAATGGTAATGGTACAAGTAATAGAAAAAATAATAGTATTAGTAATAGTAATAACAATAGTAATAGAAGTTAACAATAGTCATAGTAGTAGTAATATCAATAGCAATAGAAGTACCTAGTAATACCAGTAGTAGTACTTAGTAGGCACTTGCGGAAAAAAAGGTGAAAAGCACGAACACCGCGAAAAACGCGAAAACGCGACAAAGCGAAAACCGCGAAAAGCACGAAACACGCGAAACACGCGAACAATGCGAAACATGCAAACAACCAGCAGTAGTAGCCATAATCGTAATAGTCGTATATGCAACAACAATAGCAATAGTAATCAGATTTTGCGTTTTTCGTTTTCTTTTGAATGTTTTTTTGGTGTTTTTCGTATTTTAATGTTTTCGCGTTTTTGTGTCCACCTTTGCGCCTCCGCTTAGCCGAGACACACTAAGCGTTTCCACCGCCCAAAAGAAAGCTCCCCCAAAAACACGAAAGGGCCTAATGTTAAAAGCTATACCCTCGCTTGTCATGGGCTCTGCTGTCCCGGCGAGGAGCTTCGAGAGGAGTTTCCGGGCTGCAGGAAGCCCAGACGGATTGAAGTCAAGAGGCTTGTTGTTGTGAAGAGGCTTGTCGAGATTCATAAAGTTTCAGAAATGGAAATGCAGTGTGCAAGGTGCAAACTTAGAAATCCCAGCCGAAGCCGCAAACTGGTCAGTACAAAGCCCAGACAGAGAGCTTTGCCTTGCGGCGTTTTCGAGTCTCCGATCTGTGAGCCTCCCGTCTGCGAGGAGTCCGAGCTGCGGAACTTCTTCGAAAGTAGCGGCTTCATCAAACCCCGCCCGGCGCCTGCGGCAGGGATCTCGATTTTGTCGTGAGGGCACCTGTCAGGAGCATGCATTGCACACTTCTTCGGATCCAGGGTGTCCAGGGCAGCGGAGGTGCGAGTGGAGCATCACCATCTCCAGGCCACACCATGACATGACCAGCACAAGCAGCCATGCTGGCAGAGTGCTACTGCTCTGCCAGTTCCGGCGAACGGTTTGCAGTTCACCCTCCCCGAGGCATTGCATTTGCAGGCCTTGACTCGATCTCGAGAAACGGAAGGCATTCTGCCTTCGGATTCGCAGTGTGGTCGTGGCAGGAAAGATTGCTGATTGCCTTCAAGAGTGCAGACTTTCAGCAGAAGTGACGTGGCTGGCATTTTAATGGAAAGGCTGTGGATGGGTGCTTACCGAGGTTGCAGCGCTTGCAGCGGCAATACCCTCAGCCACGAGCTGAGCTTCGTTGCCTTCTTTGCTGCTGCACGCCCAGATCTGGATGTGCGCACAACTCAAACGAACTTCAATCGATATTCCTGCATGAACGTTGCCAGGACTAGATGGTTGCAAGGTATGGTGATCAAGGGCACGTCGGCGTTGTTGGCTAGAAGCCCTATACTATATTCCATTTATGTTGTGCTCTGCTTCCACTCGCTTGCGGTCCAGGCGAAAGCTGAGAGGACATAATGTCCGAGCCTTACCTTGGGGATTTGTCAGGTTACTTCGAGTCCGCTGCTCTGTGCGGGTCAGCCCGGCAGTGCTTGAGAACGTGTGTTGCTCAAATAAATGCCAGGACGGAAAGGCATATTTCGAGGCGTTCGAGGCATCGACAAGCATGCTGCATTAGCGCAGATGTCAATCCAAGATTGCACAGCTGCTAAACCCATATGTCCTCCGTCCGTCCTGAAGGTGCTTGTCATGACCGTGCCAGCTTCCCAGTTGTGGTCGAGGCTTACATAATTGGGGTTGGCCAAACAAACTCTGCCCAAGGTATCACAGAATATTGCCGGCTCATGGATTGCAAGGCGACTGGGAGGGAGTTGGGGCCTCAGCTCGTTGTGTTGACAGGCAAGCGGGGTACCTGCAACCTTGCAAAACTTATCACAACACGGACACTTGTGTCAGTGCCTTTTTCCCGGGTGATTGAACTGGAGACTCAGACTTGTTTCTTTCAGACGCATGACTGAGCTTCCGAATCATAAGCACACCCGACCAAATCAAATCTTGTACATCAGGGCAACCACTCTGGAGGTCGGAGAAATGTTCATGCGAATCGAGACTGCAATGCGCAATGGCAAGGCGGACCGGTTTCTGTGTGCCTTGCAAAGTCTCTAGAGCAAAGCTAGCGGCGGCAGGTGAAGAAACAGCACGAAGAGATCAACACTCTTCTAGGGCTGCCCATGGCTTTGGCCAGATGGTATCCTGACCACGCACGCCGTGTCTATTCAAAAGCATATGCCAAGGCCACGTGATGCCAAGCTGGCTCCTTCGCGAAAACAGGACTGTGTCCAGAAGCTCACTGCGATGAAGGAACAGCCCTTTTTTTCTAGAGGCTCTTTTAATCTTGCAATCATGTGCTAAACTAAAAGAGAGTTCGCATACGTTTGGGTGCAGTTCGTTTGTACTCGTGTTTGACTCTTCGAGGCATCGTATCCTCGCCAGCCATCGCCAGCCTCCATCACAGTCTAGGTCATGACGCGAGGCTTTGTGAAAGGAGGATGTATGATGCGGCCAAGGAGAGTCGGAGAACTAGAAGCATGAAGCCGTTCTCAAGCCCATCAAAAACTTTGGATGACCATGCTCGGTGTTTGCGCTTGAGAGCAATTATCAGGATCTTTTCGTCTACTGCCCAGGCAGGCGGCAAGTGTGAATGCGGCAGCAACCAGACAGTTTTCCATGGTTTTCCCACAACCGCTAGGAGCCGACGGAGGTGTGCCATCCTTCTCCCTGCACGTGGTCGAGGCTGGTGGCCTGTTGAACATGTCGAAGTAAGCCTCCAATGCGGTCTGCACACGTCGGCATTCAGGACGAGGATCTCGACCAGGCAAGCTTTGGTTTCTTACGGGCTTGCCGACAACGTCTTGTTTTCCACAGAGGAGACACAGAGGTCTTTTCGCACTCGATGTGAACAACTCGAGCATTTTGTGTGGCTGTGACACATGCTCAATACCGTCCGAACTTCTCTGTGGTGTACGTCGGCGCGAGCCGGCGACAGCAAGAATTGGGGACTCTCCCAGGGCAAGACGAGGACGAGGCGGAGGCGAGCTTTTTAAGCACATGCTGTTGGGCTGCACATGTTCTACTCCAGCTCATCGGTCCAACACCCAAAGCCAGTAAAGAAAGAAACACCTTTAAAAGTCGGATGTGCTCTGTGTGCATCTTTGCTTGAGTGGGTGTCAAATGGCAACCATAGAGATGCAGAGAGGGCACAGAATGGTGTGCGATGGTACTTTTCCTTGGTTGCTGCAGTTTACAGAGCCGGCTGGCTGGAACCATGCCGGGGTTTCTGCAATTTGTTTGGCTGCCGAAGGCACACGAGTTTCTCGTGGAGGAGGAGCAGAAGTTTTGTCTCGATGCACCAATCATTCACCTCGAAGACGACCTGTCTTGAGTGAACTGAGGAGGGTGAGCTTCAAGCTACGATCACTAGCACAAACAGCTGGTTATCGGCTCAGTATGCACCTCATGAGCCGGTCCAACAAACATCCAGTGTCATCAGTAGGTATCTGGTGAGAGAACGTGCTCTCGTCCGATCCGCTGCTGACGTGAAGTCGTGAAGCTGAGAGTTGCACTTGTAAGCTGGTGGCACGGCAGGGCAAGTGTGCAGATGTGTGGAAGGTCAAGAGTTTTGGGGGAACGTGGTGTTGGACAGCGCATACTCGGTCACAAGATCCTACATGATACAGCCGGCAGGCTCGGGCCGTGGGCAGGCTAAGGCTTTTGAGTCAGCTGCTTCCATCGGCTTCATAGGTGGCTACAACTTCACGAAAGTGAACTGCGAAAGCTGGGAAATGCCCCGGAGGTGGAGCTATTAGATTTTCAGTCCAGTCATCGACAGAGCATCTTGCAGGCCTGGGTTCAGTTTGGAGAGGGGCGCGAACTGCTGGTGAAGCAGTAAGAATGAAAGCTAGCCAGTTTGGATGGATTGATGATAGGGACCATGATGCTTTGGCAAAGCCAGGCACGTTTTCCAGTGTGGGAACAAACATGCACCTTTGTGCCGGCTCCCTTTCACAAGCGCTCACCTCGTCTCTGTTTGCTCTGGACGGCAAAATCTGTGGTCATGTCGAATGGACCTTGAGGCGTTTCCCCGAAGCTTGTTTCTCAGAAGAAAGCATTAGGAATGATTTCAGCAGCTCTCTTTGGCAGCCGTAGTCGTACCACGTTTGTCGATTCCATTATCTTACACGGGCTTGGGTGCAACTTATAAACAGCTGTTCTTTGCATGTGTGGCCCCGCATGGCCGTGGACGGGTGTACCGACGCAGCGTTTGGACCCCGGCATGTGCACCTGACTGAACATTGCCATGCTGCATGCAGACAACTGAGCTGTCGACAAAAGGTTTTGCGAAGGCGCTGAGAACGCTTCCGTCTAAGCAGCCATGGACAATAACGATCGGACCTTATTCTTGTTGAGACTGAGATAGATCCTGCCTGGTACGCACTTGTCAGCAAAAGGCCGCGATCCACGTGTGTGACAGTGGAGTACCTGTGAAGTTTTACTCAAGTGGTTGTCTGCGATGCAGACATGACGTTCCGCTTGGAGCCTAGCCGCAGGCTTCATTTAGGACAGTGCTTGATGCTGATGGTGGAAGATGTCCAGTGAGGTTCCAGCATCTTTGCAGACAGGCCGGATATCACGGAGCCAGACGGACGATAGATCATTCTTCCTGCCAGGCAGCACATTACAAGCGACGACAGACACAGGTTGCGAGAAGCTTGCATGCTGCTGAATAACAGTTCCTGTCGAATCTCGGCAACTCCCTCTGTTCTGTCACGCAGGCTCGAAGCTGTCCAGAACCCAAGATGCACCCATCCGTGATCGTAGCCGTCTTCGCCTGTGGACTGAGGGCAAATCGGTGTCAGCTTCACAGATCGCAGGCATTTGTGGCAGAGTTTGCTGGTGTAACATGGTGTAAGCCGTCTGTTCTTCAAGCAGCCCAGTGCTGGTTGATTGGGGTTCCAGGCTCCATGAATGAAATCAGGGCCTAGGGCCCGATATTTTGTTTTGGGTCCTGGTTTCTATTTCAGCAGCTCTTGGAAGGGTCTCCTGGATTTTATTGAAGAGTTCGGGGGCCGGGAGATGTTGATATCGGCTGTGATTGGGTGGTTGTGATAAGTTATCTGTATAGGGTCGGTTCCTGGATTTTCATTTCCGCTCTTGGGTCATTGTACTTGCGAGGATAATCCCGGAAATCATTTGGGGTTGGGGGGGTGTCAGAAAAGGTACCTGATCCTTCGATGTCGGTGCTTCCTATTATGAAGATGCAGAAATCCCAGAGTGCCGCATATTCACATGCCAAGGGGACGTGAGCTATGTTTGGGTATGGTAGTGTGCTCGCAAAGCAGGGGCAAGAGGCCCAAAATTCTGTGGGTTCACTTGGCCATGGAAGCTGCCACAAGTATTTGTTTCGCGGACTGGAGCGACCTGAAATGTTGGTCATTTTTCGGCCGGGAAATACCTTAGATTTCTGGGTTCGCTTAACCGAGATCTGGAGCACACAGCATTTGTTTTGCTGAAAGACCTGACATATTGATCAACTTCCAGTCTGCTCGTGTCAAAACTACTGTCCATTTGCTGTCACCGCTCTGTGGCAAAGGCAGGCACAGATTTCCTGGCAGCATGCCCTCCAGATACTGTCCTGCCGAGTTCATGACCAGCTTGCTCGTGGCACTAAGTTCCACACGCAAGAGTAGAGGATCAGATCTGCGATGTCCACGTACTTGCTGTCTTGCATCACACTGTCCGCGTGACGAAGCATCTGCTCGGACAAGGCAACCGAACCAACGGCGCATGGATACTACGCGAATGCATTCACGGCATACAGCCGAATCACACATGCTGCTCTCCATGCTTCCCGGATGGTGAGATGCAGTCCAGGTGCACCGACCCCTGGGTTTGTGCGCCTGGATTTTATTCTGGTCCGCTCCTCCTTGCAATTCCGTGCTGCTTTAACTAGGTGTGCTCTTGCTTCTGACCCCCTCCCGGGAGCTTCTTCCAGCTCATCATCTGCATGCAACTTGTCGGTGAAATCGGCCGAAGGAGCTTGGGGAACAAAAGCTCAGATCGGCAGCATCCATGGGCTCCTTGCCGACCTCGACATCTAGCGAACCTGTCCAAGCAAGACACCGGAAACAGAGCAACAGTTCAGGGCAGAACCACGGGGCTCGATCCTGGATCCCCTTCCAAGTCCGCTGCGCCGTTCCTGTCCGTGCCGGCTCGACCCATTTCGATCTTGTCCAGGCAAGACATCGGAAGCTGAGCGCCACCTGGAATGTCCGAACGTGGACACTAAAAGCATGTAGCCGGCAAGTGCACGGCCCTGGAAGTGGCGATAGAGCGGTGCAAGTGCGTCAATGATGGTGGACGTGGATGCCGTAACGAAGCTCCACGCAAGCCCCCAAACACAGTACAAACTCCTCGGCAGCGGCTTCGACATGCTTCTGCCAAATCGTCGCCGAAGGAGCAAGGTGGACGAGCGAGCCCACTTCAACGCTACTGGAAAGGTTAAGCGGTTAAGCCAAGCCTAAAATAGTTTTTATGGTGCTATAATTGCGTTTCGGATGTGCAGTGCTATGTGAGACTTGACCGCATCACCGTAGGGGCCCCTTGGGCTGCAGGCTGCTGCTTTGGGCCCTGCTGAGCTTTGACGGGCGGCCACCCTTGTCATGGATCCATTTCACAGTCAAGGCCGACGAGGCAGAGGTGATTGAAGCATTCCGACAAGACCCTTAAACGAGGAAGTGGTGGGAATGCTTCCCGACTTGTGGAAATCATAAGCGCCACCAAGACATACAGGCCAATCAGGACATTCAAAGAAAGGAAGGTGGGACCAGGAGTTTTTTTTGAAGTGTCCCCGCATATAGATGACAGCGGGGCAAGTTTCCAGGTGTCATACCATATAGGTGACGTGACTTTGGCACCCGGTTGGCTTCTTCATGTGCGCACATGCTTGCTATTCGACAATGCATTCTGCCAACACAGACCAACATATGTCAACGAGCACAGGCCGTTTGTGCATTGAATCGGATGCTGTGTCAGCCCAAATCTCTAAACTGCGGAGGCGACAGGTGCCTGCGATGGTCTTCTTCCAAGGCCGGCATCCGTTAGTGTTGATGTCTACGCTAGCGGTTGTCACCCGCTTGCAATCTGCGTGACGAGGAGGTGGAAGCCTCTCCTTCCGGCGCACGGCTCGGCAATCTCTATGAAGTTCTTTCTTTTGCTACCACGTGCTCCTAGAATGACGTTTGCAGGTCCTCGCGACGAAAGACTATTCGTTTCTTTGAGAGGCATGATGCCATGGTCATGCTGTTTGGGTGATTTTGGGTGCAGATGTTGTGGTTCAAGGAGACCGTGGTTTTGCTGGTCTTGCTGACTTGAGGTTCGTCCCTAAGAAACGTACGCTCATGTGGACCGAGCGCACGGGCAAAAGCTTCGCTTAGGGCACAATGCTCTCCCAGCAGCCGATCCGTCGACTTCTCAGCAAAAGGGTCGGTTCCGGTCGGCTTCATCTTTCAAGTTGAGGTGCAGCCAGAGACCAGCTGGAAAGTTTCGAGGCAGGCCATGCAAGATCTTTGCAAGGTGTTGTTTGCGCCCTGTGCCCCCGATGGCCCTCGTGACGTCAGCGTTGGCAGGTCTGTCGTGAGCGCGCTTGAAGCTGGTGCCCTGCTTGATGATTTGATGCTGAGTGAAGCAGCCAAAACGCGGCACTTCGCGACACCTGCGAGCAGGCTGGCGAGAAAGTTTTGCTCGAACGGACCTCGCGAAAAAGTTCTTGTCTTGCGAAGCACGCCGACGTAGATGAACTCAAGTCCAGGACTTGCCGGGCGGTTCGTGCTCACCAAATCCCTACGGTTCAACAGCTGAGCACTCGGACCAGAGTCATCGTCTGCGCTGCGGAGATTGTTTGTATTGTGGCAGGAACGATCCCTGCCGAGTCTGTCGGGACATCCGCCTGTGTCTTAGTGTCTCGAGTCTAGAGTCGAGATGCCACGGAGCGAGGCAATAGGTGGCCACAAAGGCATGCAACTGAAAAGTGCAACGTCCAAACCGGAGAAGTCACGAATGAGAGGACCTGTCACGTCAAAGTTGGAGAGAACGCAAGCATCTATGGAATACTGAATAGATTGAATAGATGAACATGCATTGTATATGGCGAGTTTTTCATCATTTGTCGTGTGGTTTGTGCGTGCTGATACAATCCTTGTCGGTTGTAGTTACACTTGTTCGGGAAGCCTTTTGTATGCTGTGCATGTCCCAAGTTCTGCAGCTTCTTTTCTGACACATTGTGCAGCGGAGCTCCTGCATGCTGTCAGTTCCGACAGTGCAGCAACCACGACCCTCAAGAAAAGCCCTTTTGCCTCTGAGCAGATTGTCTTTGCATTCTCTGTTGTTCCTTGACTTTTGCCTTCACAAGTTCATCCTACGAGCCCAATGCTTCTTCGCAAGTTTTCTCCTCCAGAGCCACCTATGCCGATGCATGCCTGGTCATGGTGGTGTAGTCACCGTCATGCTCTTAAAGGTAGTCTGGCAGGCTGGGTGTTCCGTACTGTTATCGCATGTTTCAGTGTCCGTGTTCCGCTAAGTTTTCCTTTGTCCCTGTGCCCCAGCGTTTCAGAGTCAGTCTCGTAGTGTACAGGTGGCATGCCATAGCCCCAGCCATCCGGTTTCGCGGCGTGCACCTGTCTCGATGTAATGTGTTGGTGTCGTGGATCACCATGCGCTGTCCCAATCAATGTCCTGGTTATCGGTGACTTCGTTGCCGTCGTGTCGGTTTCCAGATCATGACGAGATCTCGAAGTGTGTCCTGAACTTAGTCTTCACATTTTCCGTTGCCTTAGCATCCAGATGTTTCGGTGTGGTGGTGTTCTAGTGCTTGGGTCTCTTGTCGTGTCGGTGCTCCGCCTCGCGAGATTCCGTCATTGAATCGGTGTTCCCGGTGTTGTGTTTTTGCCGTCTCCCCGATACCCTTTCCTGTGTCCTGTGTCTTCTTGTCCGCTTGTGTTTGTGTCTTCAGCTGTCGTGTTGCTTTCAATTTCCGGCGTTTCCAGTGAAGTATCGATTTCAATTCCGGCATGATTCACATCAGCGCCTCGCACAGGTCGGGTGTGGAAGTCGTGCTGGCAAAGCAAAGCCTGGTCGACATTATCAGGCTGCCCTCCTGCAATGTTGGAGCTGGGGAGCAACTCGTGACCCTGCTACAGCCCTCCATCAAGCATTTGTTTT